TGTCCGTGCTGTTTGCAGGTCAGCCAGTGTAGTGCGAGCCACGTACATGGCACCGAAGAGACGCAGATTTCCCTGACTTGTCACAGTACCCGGAAATCCAACTATTTGTGTCGCATTTCAAATAAATCATTTTACATGCATCGCGGTCTTTTGGCATTTAGCACTGCTTCGTTGCAAAAATGCTCTGTATTTTTTCCAACGGTTTTATCTCTGCTTATTGAAGAAATGTACTTTAGATTTCTTGGAATTCTGCATCTATTTTATCTATATTTACACTTTTAAGAGAAGTTCAAATTCTCTTGTTTATCCTAATTAGCTTTCTCTTAATCGTTATTCGGGTTATTAGGAGGGTTTAAGGCTGGTATTAGGAAGTCCAAGCCCAAAATATATCACATCTAACTTTGATTTACAGTGTATAGTCAGTACTTGATTTGTCCTTTACTGAATTCACCTGTCAGCAAAAACGCCTTTTTCAGCACACAGTTCTTAAATTTGTTGAGGTTTCTCCAAATATGCAGCGGTATTTTTTCCAACTAATTCAAAGTGCTTGTAGTAAATACTGCTCCTCTAATTAGTGTCGAAAACACAATCCCTCGGGACCCCAATTGGCAATAATTACGAATCACAAACTCGAAAATTGACCACTTACCATTAACCTTCTGTTGTTAAAATGCAACAAATCAATCATTCGTGAAGTTTTGCTTTTTCTTCTGCCACGTCATTCTTAGTCTTCTACTTAGTAAACAAGCAAGGTTAAACCAGAATGCTTTTGGGCATTTGTCGACTTTATTCTAAACTTGTCCTCTTTTGAAAACGCAATGTGATGCGCGCTAGTTCTTCCTTATTTCCACTATCTGCTTGGGCTGTAACCTACTAGAAAGATCAAAGAAATTCAAAATGGGTACGTCTGGAAAGTTTACGGCTGTATTTTTACAAAGATCTGTCTGAAAATTTAACCACCGCCAGATAAGTGGATGTTTAAAAGAGTTTCTCACATCAGCAATCGCATAAATTCAAATAAGTTATGTCGTAAACCATCCCACTTAAAAGTGTATTCCAAATAATTTTGCTTTTGAAAAAATATGCCTTCTCGAATAATTACCAGGATATCTCAAAACTCCATTTTATAGAGTCTTAGACAAAATGTGGAAGATTTTTACTTTTAACTCGAAGTATTCTCATGTTTTTGAAACTAACATGCCTTAAAATCACAAGAGGGTATTTGCGTATATCTAGGAACTTGGCTTGATTTTTAAGACAACCAAGCACTTAGAACGCTCATTTCTATTCGTGAATGTAATTTTTTACCATGCACAACAATTTACGTTACATGGGCATCCCATGATTAATCCTTTGTGACCGCGATACACGCCTTCACAATGGCTTTCACCCCAAACCACTCTCCTGCGCCGATGGGAAAATAACGTTTGTGAGTCTGTGAATCCAAAAATGCGACAAGTAAGCAGTCATGTTTTGACGAGGCGTAAAGGTCAAGGTTGATTGCAGTTAAGCACTTTGTTTAGCTAGACAATTTATTTGTTATAAAGTTATTGCTTAACAATGGAACCTCAGTTTCAGGCATCCAATTGTAATGGTATGTTCATTTAGGGATAAGGTTGGAAGAGAGCGAAATTCTTTCACCCTCATATTAACTAAAGCAGGAAAATAAATTACATGTAAATTTCACGGCTGCTAAACAGAATTCGTCAAAGAGAGATCTTGTCTTTTAATGGCTTTTATCCAAATTGTGTAGGCATGTAAAATTCTCTCCAGGACTTACTTTGAATGGCATTTTTGACTAATTTCGTAATTTCCTTTGTAAACGCCTCTTAAAAGGGATGATTCTCTTAACACTTAAATTTTTTAATTCTGGTCTACGATGAATTATTTGTGGTTATTTTTACCTATAATCAACCAAACTTTTCTGCTTTACAAAGCTACACAACTTACAAACTCATCTTAAACAAAAGCAATAAACTTTTATAGCTGGTTGAGTTAAAGCGAATGTCAACCCGTAAAGCTTACCTCGATATGCACGACAAATATATTCTGAAATGAATTTATGTATAAGCTGAATTTCAGGAATCACATAATTAGAAATGACTATTCAAAAAGCTTTCTTCCTGGAATCTTTTCCGAATTTAATATCAAGAATGAGAATTTCCTGAAATTAGTAAGGAAACATGCTACTTTACTTTAACCATATAATACTGCTTTAAAGTCTGTCGCAGCTCAAAGATTTTATTATAGCATTACTCTTTTAAAAAATGGACTCCTCCTAGTGCCGGTTTATTGTCCTAGAGTTGATGTCTTACCTGGAGATGCAAACCTTTGAATTTAAAGAGGATAAATGACCATTAAGGGCA